CAATTACACAACAGACTTAGGAATGACACCACTGGTACACAGTCTATGTCTCAAGGAGCTCAAATTCTAGTGAGTGGGGAAAAGATTCTAAACAATCTAAACAAGATTCTAAAATATTGTATGTAAGATGGTGATAAGTGCTATGAAGAAAAGTTGACAGAATAAAAGAGCTAGAATAGTATGGGGGCTGGGTGTTAATTTATATAGGTGAAAAAGGCCTGATGGTTAAAGGGACATTTGAGCAGAGAACTGAAACAAGTGAGGAAGTGAAAAATGCAGGTATGTGGGGAAAGAGCTATAGGCAGAAAGAAAAAAAAAATATTAAGTCCCTCATGCTGAGCATCTCTTGGTGTTTGAGAAAGTAAGGTCTGTGTGTCTGAAGAGGAGAGAAGATGAGATGATGCCATTACAAGGCACCAAGTTGTGCTACAAAATTACTCTGTGCTGTCTGAGCATAACTGAAGTGAAAATAAAATAAAGCCAGGCTATAAAAAATCATTTCAACTACCGATTAAAACAGACTTCCGTGTAGGGGAACTCATGTAGTACATGCTCAATGTTAATCCCATCTTGCCACCAGGAGGAGCCATACCTCAAGGGGTTGGGGGCAGCTAGACAGACTATTAGAACTTCTCCTTTAATTGTTGTTGTTGTTGTTGTTGTGTGCATCAAGTCGGCCCCGACTCATAGCGACCCCTCCTTGGGTTTCCGAGGCAGTATCACTACGGAAGTAGGATTGCCCAACTTTCCTTCCAAGGAGTGGCTGGTGGGTTTGAACCGCCAGCCTTCTGGTTAGCAGTCAAGTGCTTTAGCCACTATGCTACCAGAGCTCCTCTCCTTTAACTACTTACAGGGATTACATAAACAGTCTGGCTTGTCTGGTTTCCTTCTTTCCCAGGGCTCTTGGGTACAAAGAATTTCTTGGGGAAAATAGTATGGTGACCAATTGTCGTTATCTGCCCTCAAGTCAATTTCAGGTCATAGTGACCCCATGTGACAGAACAGAACTGCCCTGTAGGATATTCTAGGCTATCACCTTTATGGAAGCAGATCACCAGGTCTTTCTTCCACAGAGCCTCTAGGTGGGTTTGAATTGTCAAACTTTCAGTTAGCAGCTGAGCACTTTATCATTTGTGCCACCAAGGCAAAAGAGATTAAACTCAACAAAAATGTATTGCACTGGGCCATGCACTATGTATCCTCCCAACTACTCCACACTGACCCACACCTGAAGAAGGAATGAAGTTGTGCTATATTCTTATTAGGACTCCTCTATTTTCGAACAACTGTGGCCTGTCTATTTAGGGTATACGTAGGGGGATAATATAAATCTGATTTATCAGCTCCTTTGGTTCTCAGATTGTCTTTCCATTTTCTCCTAGAATGCCAGGTGCTAGGGTTTATGTTGGGAGCCCTGGTAGCATAGTGCCTAAAGCACTTGACTGCTAACCAGAAGGCTGGCGGTTCAAACCCACCAGCCGGTCCTCGGAAGGAAGGTTGGGCAATCTACTTCCGTAGTGGTACTGCCTTGGAAACCCAAGGAGGGGTCGCTATGAGTTGGGGCCGACTCGACGGCACATAACAACAACAGGGTTTATGTTAACTTTTCCCTGCCTCTCTTTTTCTGACACTTTTCAGTACAGGTCTTGCATTCTACAAGACCAAAGCTATACATATTGCTTGATGAAACAACAAATTCCAGAAGCTGCTTTTTTAAGCAGACAAGTGGCCAGTGTTTAAATAAACACATTTGATGTTTACTGGAAGAAGTTAAAGTATAATCCAAAGCAAGGCTTCATGGAACTTTTGTAATTGCTAACACACAGCCATCCTTCAAGTAAAATCAGCTGCTTTAATTATAACTTCAGTTATCTACAATATTTAACTATTTTAAAGGTATTTGCAAAGTTACATTAGTTCAGGGGGAAAAAATCTGAGTTTCTTGTACACCACTATTCTGCCCTATTTATTTCGCTAACACGACATGTACTAATGAGAGGAATATAGCTTGGATTCTAGAGCCAGATTGTCTGGTTTCAAATCCTAGCTCTGACCTTGAGTATTACCTAACTGCTCTTTGCCTTAATTTCCTCATTCGTAAAGAAAACACGACAAATTCATCTTTTATAGGGTTGTTGTGAAGATTAAATAAATTTATATACATAAATCAATTAATACACATATGCATATTTATGTGAACATTTGTGTATGTAAAGCAAACTATATAAGTGCTAGCTTTATTAACTGTATAAATTTTTTAGAAATGTATCTCGTACAACTGAAAGCAATAATTATAAAAAGTCTCTGTATTCTAAAATATAGGGAAAATATGAGAAAAAATACATACAGGATCTGTGGCTGAAGAGAGGCAGCGCTGAATAAGATCCTCAAATGTGGTTTTCAGAATAAGGTGCTCATCTGGAATGGGTTTCTTAGTGATTTTTTCTGTCGGCAGAGACTGTACATGCTGGAAGAAATAATGGCATTAGAAAATGACCAGAAGCTACCTGTACACAAAGCTCTCTGAATGCATGAAACAAAACATAAACAGAAAGTAACCACCTTGAACATAAGGTATTCAAAAGCAAATGAAATTTTAAAATGTGAAATCACTTGTGTTAAGTAAAAATGAGTACCAGAAATCCTGTAGAAGGTCTAAGTACTACTCATATAGCTTGAATTTTCATAAAAAAGATTGGATATAAAGTAATTGATTAATTAGGGAACGCACACTGATGATTCTTGTACATATCTGACGGGAAGGAAACCTGAGCCAGTAGAAAATAAAAAGAGCAAGGCACTGGGACACAGAGCTGGCCAGCTCAATGGCTGCTAGTCCTGTTTGTTGGCTCATTTTTCTTTATCCTGATACACTTTTATACTTTAGTTTGCTCTTGGAAGTTGTTACTTGGGCTATTATCAGAACTGCAAGACTAAGCCAAAGGTTAAGACAGAAGAGATCATGATGGTGCTGAGCGTATAGATAGAAGAAAAAAGAAGCAACATTTGAGTTCTGATTATTTTGTCTATTCATCTGTTGGTTCGCTTGCTCATTCATTCAAAAAATAATGGGCATTAATCACCTGCCAAGGAGCTCTGGTAGCATAGTGCCTAAGGCACTTGACTGCTAACCAGAAGGCTGGAGGTTCAAACCCACCAGCCACTCCTTGGAAGGAAGATGGGGCAATCTACTTCCGTAGTGGATACTGCCTTGGAAACCCACGGAGGGGTCGCTATGAGTTGAGTCCGACTTGACGGCATATAACAACAACAACAACAACAATCACCTGCCAGCCACTAGGCTGGGAAGCAGAAAGGTAATGATCAGTCAATACAAAAATGATCTCTGCCTCAGGAGTTTACAGACTAATGGAAGACACAAAGTTAAAGGATGTCATAAATATATGTAAAATAGCAACTGTGGTAAGTTAAGACTTAGTGGGACCAAAAGAAATTTAACTGGATTTGAGAAAAGGAAGGGGACGCTCTCTTGAGGAAATCATATCTGAAAGATAAGTAGAAGTTAACCAGGTAAGTGGAGAATAAAAAGCATTCTTGACCAAAAGAAGAGTGTATTTATTATATAAGAAGGATCATGATACATACGATGGACTACCAGAAGGCCAGTGTGCTTGGGGCAAAGAGATAGCAAGAAGGGTATGGGCTGAGGCCTTCCAGATAATGTTAAATATTTTGGTCTTTATCTTGAGAACAATGGGAAGCTATAATGTTTACAGCAAAGAGGACATTAGAGATGTAAGAGATGGATTGAAGTAGATATTATAGACCAATTAGGAGTCTCGCGTGTAGGGAGAAATGTAGAGAAGAACTTATTCAAGAATTATTTTAAAGGAGTATCAACAGTATTTGGTGACAGATTTGAAATAGAAATTAAAAGAAAAAGAGCATAAGGACGATTCCCAGGATTTTGTCTGGATCAAATAAAAGGATTATGGTGTCATTCAATGAGATGGGAAACAATGAAAAGATTAAGCCTAGATTTTGGACATGTTGAGTTTGAGGTTCCTCAGACACACTCAGGTAGGCAGGCAGCTGGATCGATGATCTGGCTGAAGATAAACATCTATTTACTTCTGCCTTTTGAAGATAACCTGAGGTTCTGGTTCTAGATGAGCAGGTCTCAACAAAGGTGAACAGTTAGGTACCTTCCCAAAATAACTTAAGATTTGTAATCGTCATATAAATAAACAATACATTATTTATTACTTATATTCTTGCAGAAAAAGCAAATTTTCCCACCCTCAGCAAAACACTTGTTTTTATAATGCAGCTTTTAATACAGAGAAGTTTATTATGCATTAACTATCCTCTTATATTAGGAGCTCTGGTAGCTTAGTGCCTAAGGCACTTGACTACTAACCAGAAGGCTGGCGGTTCAAACCCACCAGCCACTCCTCAGAAGGAAGATGGGGCGATCAACTTCCATAGTGATACTGCCTCAGAAACCCAAGGAGGGGTCGCTATGAGTCGGGTCCGACTCGACGGCACATAACAACAACAACAACATCCTCTTATTCTGCTAGAGATAAAATGTTTACAAATTTGACCTCAAGGAGTCAAAGACAGAGAGCAGAGTCAGTTTCTACTTGGGTAGTAGTTTGTTTCATCTTCTTATGGTAACCTTGGACACAAATTTAATTATCATGAAGAGATCAAAAGTCTTAGATTTTTCATCTTCTAGTCAGGGCTGACTTGACAGCACATAACAACAACAATAACAGGACCCTGCAAAACAACCATTTGAATGTCAAAAACTAGCAAAAAAAGAAATAAGGGAAACCATACCATTCACTATAGCTACAAAAAAGATAAAGCATCTAGGAATAAACCTCACCAGAGACACAAAAGACCTATACAGAGTAAACTATAAAACACTGCTACAAGAGACAACAAGGGTACTACATAAATGGAAGAACCTGCCTTGTTCATGGACAGGTAGACTAAACATTGTGAAAATGTCAATACTACCCTAAAGCAATCTATATATTTAACGCAATCCCGATCCAGATTTCAACAAAATTTTTTAAGGACATGGAAAAACTAATTACTAATTTCATATGGAAAGGAAAGAGACATCGAATAAGCAGAGCACTTCTCAAGAAGAAAAACGAAGTGGGAGGTCTCACACTCCCAGATCTGAGGAACTACTATATAGCCACAGTAGTCAAGACAGCATGGTATTGGTACAATGATAGACAGATAGACCAATGGAACTGAATCAAAAGCTCAGACATAGGCCCAAAGCCCATTAAATGGGGAAGAAATAGCCTCTTTAACAAATGGTGCTGGCAAAACTGGATATCCACCTGTAGAAAAATGAAACAAGACCCATACCTCACCCTATACACAAAAACAAACTCAAGTTGGATCAAAGACTTCAATGTAAAACCCAAAACTATAAAATTCATCAAAGATAAAATAGGGGCAAATCTGTTGTTGTTAAGTGCCGTCGAGTC